ATATTGAATAGGAGCACTGATAAAGGGCAACCTTGTCTGGTTCATGTTCGCAGGGGGAAGACTTTCAGTTTCTCTCTATTGAATGTGATGTAGGCTCTAGGTTTTGTATATATGCTCTTGATTATGCTGAGGAATTTCCCTTCAATTCCTACTTTCTTGAGTGTTTTTTATTAGGAATGGATGTTGTATTTTGTCAAATCCCTTTTCTGCATCAATCAATTTGATCATGTGGTTCATTCCTTTTTCTTATTTGTATGATGGATTATGCTGATTGTTTTCCTGATGTTGAACCATCCTTGCATCCCTTTTATGAAACCTACTTGGTCATGATGTATTATTTTTTGATGTGTTGTTGGATTCTGTTGGCTAGGGTTTTGTTGAGGATTTTTGCATTTATGTTCATGAGGGATATTGGTCTATAATTTTCTTTCTTAGTGATGTGCTTCCCTGGTTTTGGTATGAAGGCTTGCTTCATAAAAAGTATTAGGGGGTTTTCCATTCTCTTCTATGTTCTGGAATAATTTGAGTAGAATCGGTGACAGTTATTCTCTGAATGTTTGGTAGAACTCAACCGTGAAGCCATCTGGGCCTGGGCTTTTGTGGTTGGGAGTTTTTTGATGACCTGGTTGATTTCTTTTCTTGTTATGGGTTTGTTCAAATTTTCTACTTCAGCCCGAGTAAGTTTAAGTAGGTCGTGTTTTTCTAGAAATGTATCCATCTCATCCAAATTTTTGAATTTGTTTGAGTACAGCTCTTCGTAGTAGTCTGTTATTATCTTTTTTATTTCATTTGGTTCTGTTGTGACTTCCCCTGTGTGGTTTCTAATGAGATTTATTTGTGTCCTCTCCCTCTTTTCTTTAGTTAGTTTTGCCAATGGTTTGTCAAATTTATTAATCCTTTCAAAGAACCAGCTTCTTGTCTTGTTGATTATTTCTATAGTTTTTCGGTTTTCCATCTCATTTATTTCTGCTCTTATCTTTATTATTTCCCTTCTTTTGGTGACTGTAGTTTCCCTCTGCTGCTCTAATTCTAATTGTTGAAGATGCTGTGTTAATGTGTTGATTTTGGCTCTTTCCTCTTTTTGGATGTGTTTATTTATCGCAATAAATTGTCCTCTCAGGAATGCTTTCGCTGTGTCCCAAAGATTTTGGTATGTTGTGTTTTCATTCTTGTTTGTTTCTAGGAACTTTGTGAATTCACGTTTAATTTCTTTTACCCAGTCGCTTTTCAGCAGGGTGCTGTTCAGTTTCCATGTATTTGACTTTATTGTTTTGGCCTTCTTATTAATTGATTTCAAGTTTTATAGCATTGTGGTCTGAGAAGATGCTCTGTAGAATTTTGATGGTTGTGAATTTATAGAGGCTTTCTTTGTGACCTAACACATGGTCGATTCTGGAGAATGTTCCATGCACACTGGGGAAGAATGTGTATTGTGCTATGTTAGATAGACTGCTCTGTATACATCTATGAGATCAAGTTGGTTGATTGTGTTGTTAAGTTCCTCTGTAGCATTGTCGAGTTTCTTTCTGGTTGTTCTATGCCTTTTCAAGAGTGGTGTGTTGAAATCTCCCATTATAATTGTGGATTTATCTATTTTTTTCTTCAATTCCATTAAGGTTTGCTTCATGTATCTTGGTGCTCTTTCATTGGGAGCATATATATTTATTATGGTTATGTCGTCTTGCTCAATTGACCCTTTGATCATGAGATAATGACCTTCTTTGTCTCTTGTGCTGGTTTTTATCTTAAAGTCTACTTTGTCAGAAATTAGTATTGCCACTCATCCTTGTTTATTGTTGCTGTTGGCTTGGTAAATTTTTTCCATCCTTTAACTTTTAGTCTGTTTTTGTCTTTGTGTGTAAGGTGTATCTCTTGCAGGCAGCATATTGACGGACCTTGTTTTTCATCCATTCTACCACTCTTTGTCTCTTCACTGATACATTCAATCCATTGACTTACTCTGTAATTATCGATAAGTATCAATTGATTGCTGTCATTATGTTACTTTTTTGGCAGTGCTGTTTGTTCTTTGGTTCTGCTTTGTTTCTTGTGTTGGCTTTATGTCCTTTGAGTTGTTTCTGGTGGGTTTCTTCCTATTTTCTCTGTTCACTTGTTCTGCTTGGGAATTTGTTTTCATGATATGTTGTGGAGTGTTAACTTTCTTTGGGGTTACCTTGTAGTCTACTAACTTTTCTCTGCATTGAGGATACTTCATTGTAACCTTTAACTTACCTGGCATCCCCATCACCTGAGCTTC